TACTTATATTTCAAATTTGAAAGAAATCCATTCGGTATTTATGGATTTATGACTGGGTAAGTTGAAGGTGAAGTTAGGTTTGCCTCTTGAGATCGCGCTTGAGTTCGCGCTTGAGTTCGCTGAAGTGTCGATCCGGTGGAAACTCGTCACATTAAACTTTTGTATTCACAACGCGGTTACCGTATCCTCGTTGAGTTTCTATCGTTCAATAAAATAATAAATTACGCTACGTCTATTAACTTTCAGAAGAAATTTTACGCGCACTAATTCAACTTCTTATTGAGGAAACCTAATTGACATTTGAGTAAGATGTCATCAAGACTAGCCAATAATAACTTCTCGTAACTATGAGCTGTAGACCTTCGAATGCAAGAGACCATAACTGACGCTGTGACAGTTCACTAACTCGCGAACGGTTTTAATGTTCACGTCAGTCGCGTGAGCGAAACCATCTGGAAAAAGAATACAGCTTTAAATTGCACTAAAATATATTTAATCTAGGTTTCATAGAAGAGAGTATTTCTTATTGACAACTTAATTATTGTTTTACTATATTCGACGAATTAGACTCTTGAAATTAATTGAAAATTCAATAATAAGGTTTCCAAGGGACATTTTATTACGAGTTACGACCTTACAAATGCAGTTTTGCAACACTTGAAAGATTTTTTTTTCAAGTTCAAGGAAGATTTTTACAAGACTTGAAGTTGAAATGACGTTTGTACAAACTTTGGGTTATTATAGATACCGAATGAAATCAAAGCTTGAATTACAAGAACAGTTTCAACGTCCTTCTAAATCCTTCGTAAATTATAATAAGATGTCCCTTGGAAACCTAATATTTTAATTATCAAATCCTATCAAAACCCTAATTTGCCGAATAGAGAAAAACAGTAAGAAAATTGTAAAAATAAATACTCTCTGCTCTTCAATAAAACCTGCCTTGTAGAACAATTTCTATCTAACTACACAAAATATATCCTGCTTGGGCAGACGTTTTGATTTTCAAGAACCAACCCAATTGTGACTCAGAGTCTCCGCCGAAGTCACTGCGTTTCTACTCTCTACTTACGCTCTGCGCACACCGTACTAGTTCAACCATATATAGTTCAATAATGCACCGTACTCTCTACCTACGCTCTGCGCACACCGTGCTAGTTCCACCATATATAGTTCAACAATGCACCGTACTATTCATGCTTCAGTGGCGCGTTGCGCATTACTCCCGGGAAAATAATCGGTTTTCTGTCTCCGGCCTCGGCTGTCTTTACTCTTTTGCCTTTCCAGTGCAGCCGTGGTGTCGTGGTGAGAGGTTATATGCGCGCGCGTCTGGTTGGGCGGTCCAGGTTTTGATCAGCTCTCAATTATGCTACAGCTATTTTTGAGACGAACATTTATCTAAATATAGTCAATTGAAAATATTTCAATTGTTGTGAATGGTGTCTTCTTTTAATTCGACGTTGCAAGTGCTCAATAGCAATTTTATAAAAGCTTTTTTTAATAAATACTGACAAATGTATTTATACTTGAAAATTCACCTGGATTTCATCCATATAACTTTACATTGCTTCTATTTGAGTGAGGTAACCATTTATTTTGCGAACATTCTTATTTGATTAGGTGCTTGAAAATGTTTCCCGTGCGGCGAGTTAAGTAAGGTTCATGCTCCTGAGTGAACTTCTAAAGCTGAGACGGCTGCTGCGGTGGAGAGAATTATCGACTTGACCATATTTATTGACCTGCTGTGCTTCTTAACTTTAACTCATGTGATAAATCTCTTGATTTATTACAAAGTCCTCATCCTTTTGCGCACGAGTATTTATGTTCAATTTTCAGCTGAGTTTATGGATCATAAAGACTCGTTACTTCATCTCAGTGAAAAAAAAATTTCCCTAAATTTTGGAGTTTGATCTGAAAATTGTCTTGACTCGAATTAAAGAATAGCAGAAAATTACTTTATAGCTTTTTCACTTGGCAATCATCTTCAATTTAAACTAACTATGATGTCAAAGACAGTCAATTAAATTGAAAAAAAAAAAATCGTTGCAATTTAATTTTGTACGCGTACAACTGATTCAGTTGATAAAAGTTAATGACACGTAGATGTGTCATTGTCGTCTTAATCGTCTAACTTCACAGCCGAACGACGAAAACCTAATTTGCAATCAAGACGAAAATCACAGACGAAAACCTAATTTGCAAGCAAGAAACTTAGACCCATTTGATTTTTAATTTCTGTCATAAATTACACTTGATGCAATATTTATTGAAGAAAACCATGTATTTTTGCGGGGCCGGTGCAGAAAATGGGCCTATCGTCCTATGGCTATAACTTTAAACGTGATCGATGAGCGGTGCATTGCTCAGTCACGTTGAACTGCCTGCCACTCCGTAGCCTAGAACTGAAATTGCCAGAGGCATTGCAACAATATTGTATTGTTAGCAGAATTTTATATTTACTGGAGTATCGAATCTCTGCAAATAAAAGCGGTCATTTTTAAAAGTTGTAAATAAGGGTTCGATTTTACTTATCAATATTATCATTATGTCTTTGACTCGCATCATGAGCACTGGTACTACGATTAAAGACTTTAGTTTAGAAAATAAAATTTGACGTTCGTCCTCCATGATTTTCTTCCATTCTCGAGCATCAAAATGGCGTGCGTAAAGCACCTGATCGTAGATCATAATTACGGCAGATATATGACGTTTTCCTATTATATGGGTGATCTGAATTATAATGAATGTTATGAGCATATAATGCTGACTCATGTTCACGAGATCGTTGCTATCTTCAATGTTATTTCTACTTGGCATTTTTTGAATAAATTATGTACTGGTCTGTCGGCCCATTTAGATTTTAATTGTATTTTGTACTATTCATTATTTCGAAAGGACAAAATTAACATGAAAAAAGCTAACAAAGAACTATAAAAATGCAGTATAATTTCCAAAGGTTCAATCGGAAGACAATTAAACGAAGGAATATGTGTTTGATAACTCGTCTTGTGTTATCAAACACAATAATAATATGTGTTTGATAACTCGTGCTGTGACGTGTTGTTCCACGCGCCCTGTGACGTGTTGTACCACGCGCCCTGTGACGTGTTGTACCACGCGCTCTGTGACGTGTTGTTCCACGCGCCCTGTGACGTGTTGTACCACGCGCCCTGTGACGTGTTGTACCACGCGCCCTGTGACGTGTTGTACCACGCGCTCTGTGACGTGTTGTACCACGCGCCCTGTGACGTGTTGTACCACGCGCCCTGTGACGTGTTGTACCACGCGCCCTGTGACGTGTTGTACCACGCGCCCTGTGACGTGTTGTACCACGCGCCCTGTGACGTGTTGTACCACGCGCCCTGTGACGTGTTGTACCACGCGCCCTGTGACGTGTTGTACCACGCGCCCTGTGACGTGTTGTACCACGCGCCCTGTGACGTGTTGTACCACGCGCCCTGTGACGTGTTGTACCACGCGCCCTGTGACGTGTTGTACCACGCGCCCTGTGACGTGTTGTACCACGCGCCCTGTGACGTGTTGTACCACGCGCCCTGTGACGTGTTGTACCACGCGCCCTGTGACGTGTTGTACCACGCGCCCTGTGACGTGTTGTACCACGCGCCCTGTGACGTGTTGTACCACGCGCCCTGTGACGTGTTGTACCACGCGCCCTGTGACGTGTTGTACCACGCGCCCTGTGACGTGTTGTACCACGCGCCCTGTGACGTGTTGTACCACGCGCCCTGTGACGTGTTGTACCACGCGCCCTGTGACGTGTTGTACCACGCGCTCTGTGACGTGTTGTACCACGCGTGCTGTGACGTGTTGTACCACGCGTGCTGTGACGTGTTGTACCACGCGCCATGTGACATGCACAAAAAAAACCATCGTCGCCGATATGTACGGTATATCGCATATTGTTGGCCTGAAAAAAATTCACATTCTTTCGATTAATAAAGAAAATTGTCTTGCGGTTTCATCGCTGTTGTCTACAAAAACTTTTTATCGTGGACAGCGTAACAATAAACTTCAGTACCGCTACGAAAATGAAATGAATTCGGAAGAGGAAGATCCTTCCCCCCTCTTTCCGCCCCCGCAATCGATCCTAGGCTCGGCCGGGGAGTTTCCTCCTTCCCTTCCTCCCCAGCATCTCCCCAGTACCTCCCCAACCCCAAATCCCCTCGGGGGCGTGGGTTTGGGGATGACGATACACCTTGTAAGCGTCAAAGGTTGTCACTCCCGAGATGTTCTTCAAGGATTGTCTGTAGAGCATAAGATTGAATATAAAGTTTAAGATCTCACTATAAAGTTTGAGTATGACGTCTGAATATAAAGTTTCCTTCCCCAACTTGAGGAGTGGGGATGAAGAAATGCAATACAAGCCCCAATTAAGTATGGACACTCCCGAGATGTTATTCAAAGAAAAGCGTTCCGCGGTGTCCACGAGTTTCTTATATTGGTGTTAGAGAGCAGCTGAACCTGACGCTGAGATCCTGCGCTCTACCTCATGCTGGTGCTCTCTAAATTGGCTGCAGGTGCTCTCTAAATGGGTTGCAGGTGATCTCTAAATTGGCTGCAGGTGCTCTCTAGATGGGTTGCAGGTGCTCTCTAAATGGGTTGCAGGTGATCTCTAAATTGGCTGCAGGTGCTCTCTAAATGGGTTGCAGGTGATCTCTAAATGGGTTGCAGGTGATCTCTAAATTGGTTGCAGGTGCTCTCTAAATGGGTTGCAGGTGATCTCTAAATGGGTTGCAGGTGATCTCTAAATTGGCTGCAGGTGCTCTCTAAATGGGTTGCAGGTGATCTCTAAATTGGCTGCAGGTGCTCTCTAAATGGGTTGCAGGTGTTCTCTAAATTGGCTGCAGGTGCTCCCTCATTTGTTCCTCAATTTCCTTGTTACATCAGCCAGGCATGACGAATAAATTTACAAATTAAACGCGTTTCGTTATGTATGGCTTGAAGTTTATTCGTTTCGAGATGGGTAACAATAAAGTTTCCATCAAGGCTATAAATATCTCAGAGACAGTGTCAGCTGGGTATAAAAATTTGTAATCATTATCTCACTTAGCCTGCCAGGTTTCTCACAGCCTCATAATCCTTCATTTTAAAAATATAACTCAGTACTCACTGCAGTGAGTGACAGAGAGCGCATTTTCTCGTCGACGAAAACGTGAAGTCACGGACAGACGGACCGACAGACAGAGGGACGGACATGACGAACACAAAAGCGCCTTTTTTCCATAAATGAGAAAATGCGCTAAAAATCAGGTTTTCTATTCCCCTCCGAGATTTCTGAGTCTTCTTTCGATCTGGCTCCCAATACATCGTAGAGAAGTCAAGCCTATACGCCCAGAAAAATTCATGGCTAATATTGTCCTAATTGTGACACACTTTTCTCACTCTCAACACGTTCAGAGTGCGAACGTAGCACTGATACGTTCTTTTGCCAGGCTGTACTGTGTCAGAATGACCCAAACAAGCATAAAAAATGTGTTGCCAAACTTGGACATAGTCACATTTATTTCTCTGGGTACAATAATCCTAGTACAGTATAGCATACTATACTGTATATATACTATAGTATAATCTACAATAGTATAATGTAATTCTAACTTAGTATTCTAACTATTATAATATGATTATTAGCAACTGGCGACACACATGGCTGTGGTTGTGACGACATCGCTGCAAGGGGGGGGGGGGGGGAAGGGGGCTGTGTTGCCACGTGACGTCCCGCCCCCTCCGCCCCCCGCTGCTGAGGGCGACACACTCAGATAAATGAAGGAGTTATATTGTCCGAATAGCGAATCACTTTTTGCACGTAGCGCTGATAAGACTCCATTCATACCAAACTGAGTCAGGATGACCCACACATTGTTGAAGATTCCCTCGCTTTAATACAAAAAAATCCCGTCTTTGTACCAGTTCGAATTTTCCCTGTGATGCTAATAATAATGATAGCGAATTATATTTCAAATTTGTTGAAATAACACAGGACACCAGGATTTGTTAAAAAAAAAACTAAAAATCAAACAAAACTATGTTGAAGAGCTAAAATAAATGCTGTTTTCTATCATCACTTGAATTAACACCTAATGAAGAACCACCATGTCCAAATAAAGGAACAATGTCGCTGCAATCCAGAATGTACGTGTAAATTTTTCCACTTCGACCTGATAAAATGCAAGATGTACAGAGAAAAGAATAAAAATATCATTAATTAAACTCTCAATTCTAAGTGAGCGCACTATCTCTCTGTAATTAAAGTCCACCTGCTGTTAAAAATTCCACTTGAAGCATTGTTTTTGCATAGCAACCGAGTGAAAACACAGGCCGTTGATGTAGGACCAATCACTTGCTGGAATATACACTTGAACCTCGTGTGTATGGCGCCGAGATTATCAAATCTTCGTTATGCATATATTTGCATTACGAAGAAGATTACTCTATTACTATTACTATTCATGAACTTACTCATAAGTACCTATTAAATACGAACGTGTGCGGCAGTATTATATACATTTGGTTCTAGAAAAGAACATCTTCCCTCAGGTATATTGTTATCTTTATTAAAAAGATTGTGTTTAATTCTGGCAGGAGAACTTTAAATACCGCATATTTGTATATGTCTGTATCGTGAGAATATAAGATAAAGTTTGTGGCAACTCAAACTTAAATACTTAAGTGAAAAAAGTGATGAAAAAAAGAAATACCAACGTGTACTATTTTCAAGTGTAAAGACTAAGAAGTATCTTAGTGAAGACTAAGAAGTATCATCGTGTCACAATAAAACTTTTAAACTTTTTTAACGATTGCAACTATTCGTCAAAAGAAGTGTGTTGGTTTTTAGTGACTACATTCAAATTTTCACTTATTAATCTCGTAACTAAAAGGCATTGAGCAACGCTCTTGTACTACCTTGCCCCCGCGTCTCTCCATTTCAATTTCTCATCTGAATTACCTGGGCTCGCAACAATCGGCAGCAGTCCCATCATGGTTCTCTTCGCTTGTTCTGTAGCAAACTATTATCACCATCTCAACATGATCGTAATGCTCACCTTCACATTTTCATCATCTCACTATTCAAGATCTTAGCTAGTAGCAGCAATATATTTTGCTTCCCTAACTTCATGATAACACCATCAACAACTTTAAATTACACAAGAGATTTCTTTCATTATTTCATTTCAATGACGCAAAAGCTTCAACACGTATAACTTCGTTCATCGTCTTGGGAACTACTCAACTATAGTGCTGGTATGATGGAAATCCGCAGTTCACTGATCAAAAGAATTTTGTCCGCAATTCACTGTGATCACAAATTATCTTCTCGACCCTACCCACAACATCAACCCATTATGATGTTATAATCTTATCGCTGTTTCGTGTTATCTACATCACTTGAAATACTCTGACTAAATGTAAAACTGTTACAACATCTCGAATTAAAACAATGTCCAGACTGAGGCCAAACAACTATACATAGGCCTGTCCCTGACATGTGCCTATATACCACATCATTCTGTCCACCATATTTGCCTGTCTACCACTTCTTTCTGTCTACCATATCAGCTTGACAACCACATCAGCCTGTTCTCTATACCAGCCTATCCCCCACACCAGCCTATCCTCCACGCCGGCCTATCCCCCATACCAGCCTATCCCCCATCCCGCCCATCCCCACACCCGCCTGTCACCCACGTGAGACCAACCCCCCCCCGGCAGTTCCACCAGCTCGTATCCCGTTGCCACGTCTTCTCTCAGCGACGTCGTAAAGAAGTAGGTTGCAGCGTCAAATATTTGCTTATGCCTTTGCTCCTGATGCGTTGAGCGCAGTAACTGTGGTAGAGAACTCCGCAAAAAGTTGTCTTTCTGGGGTATATGTGACCATAAGGGGTTTAGGGGAGAGGGTAACCCCTCAAATAGGGAGAGGGTAAGCCATGAGGTTCGAGCTATTCAGCGTTAAATTTTATGCTGGATTTTTTAATGTAAATAAGCTAACTAGGTTTCTCCCATCCTTGTTTATGCTAACTGATAAATTCTCGTGACTAATATGCGACTAATCGCCCCACCAGCTGAGGATGAGCAGAGCGGGGCTGCGGGTTGTGCTCCCCGCCAACATCACCAGGGGTCCATCTCCAACCCCCGTCTTGGGGGAGACTGCCAGACACCGCTTACAGGTAACAACCCTAGACCTCAACCCTCCAACCCATGAGCATAACCTTCAACCATTGTTTTCAATCTATGAGCTTAATCATCAACCTTGATTACCAGTGGATTTCATTTGAATCCATTAGTTTAATCTTCAACCTTTCATTTCAAGCAATAACATTGATCCGCAACCCTTGATTTCAACCCATGACCTTAATTCTTATCAATCCAACTATTTATGCTGAATTTATACTAGCTACCCCAGCAAGAATTTATTACAGGGATTGCGTGTGATTACGATACGATGCTTATTGAAACGATGTTTCGCTGAAAATTGTTTCGCTTCCTATTTTTTTATTTTTTTTTTATTGAACCATTAAGGGGAGCGTCTCCCGAAAAATCGAAAATTTTCACTTTTTGGGTTTTTACACTCATTTTAAAGCTTAGAAAATTACGCTTCTAACGAGACTAAACTTGTCTCTCTACGTCGTCTGGTTCTCGTACACTATCTAGAGAATGATGTATGCGTTTTTGTAATATAGATTTATTTAGAATGCAGTTTTTTTTAATTTTCATAAAAATTTTCAGTTTTTCAGCTCTCCTGAAAAACAACATTTTTCTGACTTGCAAACCTATCTCCTCCTAGAGTTTTGAAGCTACGTCAATGAGACATATACCGTTCGATTTGCAAATAAAAGATCTACAAAATGATGTATTGGTTTTTCTAAGTTCGTTATAGTTCGGATTTTATGTGGCAAAAAGGGGGGGAAAGTGGAGGTAAAATCTAAAATTTCAAACAATTTCGGACAAAATGCTCCCACACTCACAAAAATGAGAAATTCAAAAAACCAATACATCATTTTGTATATGTGGTCTTTACGCATCGAATGATATGTGTCTCGATGTTGTAGCTTGAAAATCCTAGGAGGAGATAGGTTTTCTAAAGTACCCCTTTTTTTCGTTTTCTAAGAATTTCACGTTTTCTTTCAATTTTTTTCGAAAAATCACATGAACAAAAATGTCTTAGAATTCTGTTTTACATATGTGTACCAAATTTCAGATTGATCCCTCTGTAAATTACTGAGATAAATTTTTAGGGAGACGCTCCCCTAATTAAGTCAATATTTATTTTATTTATTTATTTTTATTATTGAACAATTAAGTCAATACGGATGTTTCTTGGTATTTTCCACACCTGTAAGCGAAATTGTTAATAATGACCATAATAAATGTGGCATTTGATAGTTATAATATCTAGTAATTTAGTCCGCATTTTGGCAAGCGTAATAATGTCTTCAAATAGATTCCCAACTGCCCGTCATTTCGTGGTGTTGAACCGTGTTTGAACCGTGGATGACTAATGGAGGCATTTATTGCTGTCGTTCTCCATACTTTCGTTAGAGAAGGGAAAGTTTCTTAATGACCCAACACATGAGGCAGAAACAGCATAACTTTATCGTCGGACGGTTAGGCACCTCCGTATCAGGAATATTTTACGTAAAACTCTACGGCGTTAAAACCGAACATTTAATTACCTAAGTGCCGTGAATTGTACGCAAAAAACTCTACGGTCTCTACACCGAACATTTAATTATCTCAGTGCAGTGAATGCATTCCGAAATCTCCACAGTGAATGCACAGTGCAGTGAATGCATTCCGAAATCTCCACAGTGAATGCACAGTGCAGTGAATGCATTCCGAAAAAAAATTAATCACATCTGTCACTTGGATTAATAAGTTGAAATGTCACGGCTAGCACCATTTGTAGCTTTCCTGGTCTTTTTGACTGGATATTAAAACACTTAATGTGAGTACAAGTCATTGAGGCAACATGACTGCCGGAATGTGCAGTAATGCAGTATGTTCAATAACATACACAGTAAATGATTGACCTTAAATATGTTAACCTTAATGTTAACCTTAAGCATTCATTTAGTAATTAAATTAAGCTGGAATGATTTCTATAAAATATAAGTACATTTTGTAAAATAACAAGGCTTTAACTAATCAAAATTGAACATTTTTTGTCAATATTTAGTTCAATAAAATATCTATCGAATAATGAGTAAATTGTGTATCAGATTGAGAGCTAAATTATTAAATAGGTCACATGGATATAAAACTTTGATTAGGTTACTGATACATCTGGATGCATAAAAAAATCTTTTACATTTTACATAGTGGTGTTAAATTAGTTATTTTGTCATAAAAATTTTCCATAAATCCTCACAATTATCATTCATTTTAAAAATTAATTTATTGATAAGTAGATAATAATTTCATTAGTGGAAGTCGAGATTGATGTTGGTGGTAGGATAACGATAATTTAGGCTGGATCCTGGACGCAGGCATTTATATCAGTCATTGTAATTCCAATTCCGCGTATCAATAAAGAGTTGATTTTTTCCAGGCTTATAAATGTCATACTAAAGCTTGTACCCATACAAAAAAAATTCAGATAAGAGAATTGCATTGCTGACCTCACACGGACAACCGTCATTATTCGCACACAGTCACGCTGGATAGAAAATTAATTAGGATTGAGTAAGTAGTACAACTTCTTCATTATAAGCAGCAGCAGATTTGTCAAGTTTTAACAATGAACTTCACGGGAATTCGTCTGTAAATACCAACCATAGATATGTGTTATTTAGTTCACTTCTGCCTTGCTGCTATTGAGTAACTTACATTCCGTGATTCGTGATTAGATGCGAAAGACGTGATTGGATTATTGCCTGTTGGTGCCGGCAGAACTTGAAATATGCCTATGATGATAATCTGGTTATATTAAGTAATAATATGCCTATGATGATAATCTGGTTATTAGCCCCCGCAAGAATTGCCGTATGTGACCTCTGTGCATATGGAGGAGGGCACTGCGCTGACCTCAAATCACGGCTTCTGACGTCAGCAGGTCCCGTTATATAACCCATTCCGTTTTATATTTAAGTATAAATATAAAACGGAATGGGTTATATTATCCAAATAGTGACACAGTTTCTGCACGTAGCAGTGATTGCACTTCTGCGTCTCTGAATAATTTCCTCGAAATGAACCGGGACAACCGGGACGATGCGAAAAATGACCGGGAAAAATAACGGGACAGAGGGTAAAATTTGTCCCGGATTAACGTATGCACCAGGACAAGGCTTGTGTCACGGACTTTAAAAATTGTGTCCCGGTAATTATTTAAGTCATGTCGTCTCGGAGTTGTCCCGGAATTTAAACGGAAAGGCGAAAATTGTCCCGGCTATTATTGCTAACCGCGACAAGCCCTGTTGTCTCGTCTCGTCTCGTAATTAGTATCAGCCGCAGGAGTCTGGCAGTGACCGATATAAAAGAAAACTGGACAGCCGCTTCGACAAAGTCTAACTCATTTCTGTTGCGGCTAATATTCAGTTTAAATTTTATTGATGCATTCCGCATACTGCTGTCATGCAGACCGCTAAGTGTCTGTCGGCCGCTCAAGACGTTTCTATGTCTGTTCGATCAGACATAGATTTTCCCATTTCACCGAACACATGTTCTTAGATAATGAACCGTCACAAGTTGATGTAGACACATAGATGTGAAGATATTCTACGCAGTGGCTACTATTTAATTGTTTAAAAATGAGAAGTAATAACCCTAAGATGATCAGCTAAATGGAGTTTGTAGTACGTCGCTATGTGTGACGACTGATATTAACTGGGAAAACTTTTTCTATGGCGATCGAGTATAAAACTTTATTATTATCAGAGAGGCATGAATTCATAGTGTATGTCTCAATGACTCTTCGCAATACATGAAAATTAAAGTATGAACTCACGTTGAGTTTGTACCACCTGAACCATGATGCACTATATACATGCAAGGTATGCAGTTGCTGTCTCATAAATTGTTTACAGGCATGAACAGGCATTCCCTAATTAATGTTTTACATGCTACTTAAGGCTCAATTATATTGTATTCTTGTATTAAGAATACTCATGTGGCTATCCTGTTGTCAGAGTTAATGCTGGGTGCGCGGAAATGGGATTTACTGTAAATCTTCTTCAGTTAAAATGTTGCGACAAACAAAAACTCGCGAAGATAAGAGGGGTTTTTGTATTCAAAACAAATTGTTTCCCCCATTACAGAGTAGAAAAATTAAAGGCAACATAATCTTATCTATCAAACATGCATAATTCATTTCATTTATTTGGTAACTTACAATCTTTCTGAAGTAAAAATATTTGTAAGTTAACATACAATTTCCTAGCGTAAAAATATGTGCGAAAATTGCATTTCTAAGTTGAAAGCCCACAATGTTTAGAACTATCTAATATGATTGTTGCAGTTTCATAAATGGACGAGCATAAAAACTTACTCTAATCATCGTTCTCGGCTCGTTTCATGTCGTGTTTATCGTGCCTCATTCTGCAGGCATTTTCATATCGTGTTTATCGTGCGTCATTCTGTAGATATTTTCATATCGTGTTTATCGTGCCTCATTCATTAATCGTTTTCCATTCAGAAAGAAATTATGATATTGAATTAGCCGCACTAAACAGGCAACCGAAAGACCGTAAAACTACAGCGACCGTTTCCTCACGACCCTAACGCTACAACGGCCGTAACGCTAAAGCAACCGTAAAGCCCCCACGACCCTAACGCTACAACGACCGTAACGCTAAAGCAACCGTAACGCCCCCACGACCCTAACGCTACAACGACCGTAACGCTAAAGCCACCGTAACGCCCCCACGACCCTAACGCTACAACGACCGTAACGCTACAGCAACCGTAACGCCCCCACGACCCTAACGCTACAACGACCGTATAACGCTAAAGCAACCGTAACGCCCCCACGACCCTAACGCTACAACGACCGTATAACGCTAAAGCAACCGTAACGCCCCCACGACCCTAACGCTACAACGGCCGTAACGCTAAATCAACCGTAACGCCCCCACAATTCTAACGCTACAGCGACCGTAACGACCCCGAAACTCTAACGCTACAGTGACCGTAACGCCCCCACAACTCTAACGCTACAGCGACCGAACGGCCACCACAACTATAACGCTACAGCGACCGTAACGACCCCGAACTCTAACGCTACAGCGACCGTAACGCCACCACATCTCTAACGCTACAGCGACCGTAACGCCACCACATCTCTAACGCTACAGCGACCGTAACGCCACCACAACTCTAACGCTATAGCTACGGTAACACCCCCGCAACTCTAACGCTACAGCGACCGTAACACCCCCGCAACTCTAACGCTACAGCGACCGTAACGTCACCACAACTCTAACGCTACAGCGACCGTAACGCCACCACAACTCTAACGCTACAGCGATGGTAACACCCCCGCAACTCTAACGCTACAGCGACCGTAACACCCCCGCAACTCTTAACGCTACAGCGACCGAAACGTCACCACAACTCTAACGCTACAGCGACGGTAACACCCCGCAACTCTAACGCTACAGCGACGGTAACACCCCCGCAACTCTAACGCTACAGCGACCGTAACGCCACCACAACTCAAACGCTACAGCGACTGTAACGCCACCACAACTCAAACGCTACAGTGACTGTAACGCCACCACAACTCAAACGCTACAGTGACTGTAACGCTTCCACCAACCGAATTCTTCAGCGACCGTAACGCCCACACGACCGATATAGCGCCCCAGCAGCGTTAACACCTTGTTAATATTATGCTAGTAAACACTGCGTCAGGTTATGGCTATACTGAAGAAAATATTGTTGTTATTATTACATCGTGCTTACCAAACTAATCGATAAATATAATAACCAATGTGATCACTGCAACAATTCTGTCAATTTTAGATTATTAACGAAAGAATATTTAGCAATTCGTTGCAATCGATATGATACCTACTTTGTTAATTCATTTCTAATAAATGCACCTGGAGTTTTTTTTAGATATTGCATAATTTTCATTTGATTTCAATTGTTTCTAAATTTACTTATATTAACTGCAACTTTTTTGTGTGAAATAATCAGGTTCACTCATGATTTCCTTCAGTTTAGGTTGTTGTCATTTAATTAAGAGTTTTGTGGCGTGTTTGCTGCTCCGTTTTTTGCATACGTTATGTGTTTTTTTTGTGTTCAGTTTTATGATATTTCTGCTGCCATTGTTCCTGATGTTCTCTTGAGTGTTCCACACTCTGTTCACTAGTGATATTGCTGCTGCTATCCAGCACATCAGGGACAATCATGCCGCAACAGTCCCTTTTCACACATATAATTTCAACATTACCTGCATACAAACAGCTCAATATAATAATATAAATCACATCAATAACACACCTAGTCAATTCAATCACCAGCGCACTCTTTTCACATCATAACCAATTCACTCACCACAAACAACTCCATCAT